GCAGGAGAATCACTTGAACCTGGGAGGCAGAGGTTGCAGTGAGCCGAGATTGTGCCACTGCACTCCAGCCTGGGTGACAGAGTGAGACTCCGTCTCTCTCACACACACACAAAATAAATAAAATAAAAAATAAAAAAAGATACTGACTTCATTGTATTGAAGAAAAATAATGTTTCCACTAATAAAAAATGTTCAGAAGGTGACAGGAAGGGGTAGATCTAGGATGCAACTGACCCCAGCTCTCAGCAAACCTCAGGGCTTTTCTTTTACTGTTACCTGTCTCCATGTGGAGAGAGGGACAGAGACACTCCGAGCAGGGATGAAAGAACCATTCACTTCATCCTCAAGCATCTGAAGCTCCAGTCTCAGGGTTCCTTCCTGCTCAGCATCTTCTTACATCATCACTCATAAATCTACTTTTAATGTTAAATGTGATCAAGATTATCACCCATCATAACAGACATGTTCCACAAAGTTAAGCCCTATCTCTAGAAAGGCTGTAGACCATCATTTTGCTGTGAATCAGCAAGAATTTTGAGATTTTTGTGGCTTTTTCAGCCCATTGAACTAGCATGAGCCAGCCAGACAGTTTGAAACTAACCAAAGAGAAATTTGACTTTTGAAATTTTTTAGACTGTATAGCACAGTGACTATCCCTTGCCACCCTGCCAATGTCCCCTGACCCCGAGTTATATCAAAGCTTCATATATTGTGGGCCGGTCTGAGGCATTGTGGGCTATTTGATCCTTGCACTTTCCACATAACCACCTGACACATGAACTGTAAAAATCTCACTTGAGTTTAGAAAACCTCACATGAGAAATATTCTTGGCTTTCTGAAGAACAGTCAGCAATTCCCCAGAATTTAATAAAAGAGTCAACAAGATTAGACCATCATGGATACATGTCTGGCTAGCTGTGATATACTCTTCTGGAAAAAAATAATGGAATTAATGTAAAATATTGGTAATGCCTGCTATTTGACAGAACAGTAACACAGTGCCAAATATTTTTTAAAATGTTATGTGCTTGCATCCTTGGCTTTCAGGGCGGAGGGATTGAAGAGACTAGTCTTTAAGATTTCTCCTCCCTCTTTCCATGGTTGCTCCACTGGGCCATGACTTGAACACTGAAAGCAATCCTAGGATTCTGAGACCACGTTTCCCAGTGGCTGCAGGTGACTGCTAAAGCTCCAGTGACTTCTTGATTTGAGACTCCAAGTTCTGTGTCTTGTCAGGATCGGCCAGGGGCCTGGCACACAGGAAAATGTTTGCCTTCATGTCAGAGAGTTGTTGAAATCTTACACCCTCCCATGATTATTATGGCAGGCAAAACCAGACCACCTTTGAACCATACATTTTAAACAACTGAAAAAATGCTTTGAGAGTGAAGAGGAGCTTTTATTTTTTCCCTTGTTGAAGATTTTTATGAAATGAGATAGAGAGCATTATGCTTTCTTCTTAACCATCATCTCAAAGGAGTTCAAGAAAGCGTGGCTGGGTGGAGGCCCTTGGGATTCTCCTTTAGTGATTAAATTAAAGAATGATTTGAAATGACTTTTTACATATAACAATAATATTAAATTGTTGTTAAGTTCTGCATATAAGTATCACATCGTGAAATATACCCAGAATGTCATATAACGCACATGATATGTAAAGGAGCTACTTATGTTTTATCTCCTCTTTACAAATGAAGAAAGGATGCTTTGGACAGGTGGGATAACTAACCCAGAATACAAGTAAGTAATCTGC